CTACCCTAATATAGGTATTAATAGTTGCTTCAACAGCTCGAACGCTTGACCTACAGGTCATACAGAGACAACTTTACCGTTGCTCCAAGGCTCCCTTTCGGAATGCAAGCATTAGTGGGTGTGGGGGAATAAAAGGTGGTAGGATAGCCCGATGTATAAGGCATCTTGTGTTCGTGCAGGGTCCGAGGAAGGACCGCTCCCCAAGGGCTGTGAGGTAAACAGCCTATCGTAATGCAAGCATTAATGACTACTTCTACGGCTCGAACCCGTGACTTATAGGTCATACGGAGACGACTTTGCCGTTGCTCCAACGCTCTCGTCGGACTAAAAATAAAGATTGATGAAATAATTATTAGTACGAGAATAGGATAGGATTTGAAAGTATTAGTAACAGTATTTGTTTGTACATGCAATAATTCATTGCGTCAGCAGTTGATAATGTTCACATGCATGGCTTCACTTTCTATAAAGATGGAATTTCTTTTTAACACAGAATCCATTACTATAAGCTACTCCTATACTTTGTGTTTTGAGAGAAAAACAAGAGAAGAAAATGAAGCTATTTAAAATGAAGAAAATGAGTTTGTGGTCTTCATTAATGGTGGTTTGGTTTCTATTAATAGCAACTTCTAATTTGGTGGAAAGCAAATGTGCATTTGAGGCTATTTTCAATTTTGGAGATTCAAATACTGATACAGGTGGATTTTATGCAGCATTCCCATCTCAGGGTTCTCCTTATGGAATGACTTATTTCAAAAAACCAGTCGGACGTCCAACTGATGGCAGAGTCATCGTTGATTTTCTTGGTATTTCACCTCACTTTTACACATATCTGATGTATGCTTGTTGTTCGAGTAAATTTGTTGTTGGGCTAAACAGATCCAGATATATTCTTAACGTCAAAATAGCACGGGCTAGCCAGTTTTCGGACGGATAATTGAAAAATAACCAGCGTTCGCAAAGTCATTGAAAAACATCAACTATTTTGCTGCAACACGGAAAGTTCCAGCATAATATACTGGAGATTGGAGCACCCGTGTATGAACTTCTAGCATATTATGCTGGAACTCCAGCACACGAAAAGTTCTAAGCTTAATATACTGGAGATTAGAACACCCGTGCATGGACTTCCAGCATATTATGTTAGAACTCCAGCACATTATGAAATTCCAACATGTTACGCTGGAAGTTCACATGTAAAAAATTCGAGCTCCAGCATATTATGATAGAATATTTTCTGGATTTTGAACAATATTTTTGTTCAAATTTATCTTTAGCATGAAAAGTGACTAAATATCGATTACTTTTTGAAACTATGGCTATTTTTCAATAACCACTTGTAAATCTGGCTAGTTTTGAATTTCTCCCACTCTTAACACAGAGCGATATTGTCTGATTTGAGCCAAGCACGTACGATTTTCCACAAAAGGCCTTACACCCTTAAAGTCTTGGCTAATAAAATTTCAGATTACTGAACGTTTTATGTAATGTGCAGCTCAAGCATTAGGTTTGCCATTTCTGAGTCCATATTTGCAATCAATTGGATCAAATTACAAACATGGTGCCAACTTTGCAACATCAGCATCCACAGTACTCTTGCCACAAACATCATTGTTTGTATCTGGAGTTAGCCCCTTTTCTCTTGAAATTCAGCTCAGACAAATGAAGGAATTTAAAGTTAAAGTCGATGAACTTCAGAGTAAAGGTAATATGAATATTATTCCAATTTAGAAACATTCATATATATATATATANTATATATATATATATATATATATATATATATATATATATATATATATATATATATATATATATATATATATATATAGATACACCTTATCATAATCTATATATATATATCTTTGTTTACAGGGAACACTAATCTGCCTTCCCCAGACATATTTGGGAAGTCACTTTATACATTCTACATAGGTCAGAATGATTTCACTGGCAATTTGGCAAGAATAGGAATAAGTGGAGTGAAGCAATATTTACCTAAAGTAGTTTCCCAAATTACTAGCACCATCAAGGTAATTTAATCAGAATATGGTCTTCAGGGTCCTAACTTTTGAAGCATAATTAGTTGTTTTTTACCGTTTTCATTCTGATTTGTTTGGTTCTATTTTCTTATTAGTTCGTTTAAAAAAGAATGACGCAATAATTAACTTTGAACTTTTCCATTTTACCTTTAGTAAGGAGCTTTTATAGCTAGACAAATATTATGACATGTTAAAAAACCACAAGTTTAAGAAACCTTATAACTACACAAATGTAAGTAACATGTTTAAGACCCCAAAGTTTAAGGGATCGTTTGGTAGGAGGTATTAGAAAAAAACAATGCAAGCAATATCTTTGTGCATTACTAATCCCTTGTTTATACGTATAACTAATACTTGTATAAGTTACACATCGTATTTGGGATTATCTTATGTATAACTAATACATAACAAACCATAGTATTAGCAATGCAAGGGTATTTAATACTTGCATAAGCATAGTTAAAGACATAATTGCCCCTCAAAGTGTGCAAAGTTAAAGAATGTGGAGGATATTTTTGTAAACTAATTTCTTTAGAAATTATGCAATGCTTTAATACACCAACCAAACAGCGGGCAAAAAATAATCTGCATTACTAATACCAGTATTGTTAATACATCCTATTCAACACTATTCTTATACCTCCTACAAAACGATCCCCAAGGGGTCGTTTGGTATGAGGTATAAGTAGGTATAGTGCTGGTATAAAATTTTAATACCACCTTAATACTTTGTTTGACTGGTATAAGTTGTCCCGGGATTAAAATTAGTGCCGGGATCACTTATACCTTGTAGGGGGTGGGGTAATTAGTACCAGGATGACTTATAACTTCTTAGAAATTATGCAATTGTCATTTTAATACAACATACCAAACACTAGATAAAAAACAATACCAGGATAACTAATCCCAGCATCAGCAGTGTTCAAACCAAACGACCCCTAAATGTTTTTATTTCTTTCTTAAACTTTGTGCAGAGTCCGACTATACCAAACAAATTGGAACGGAATATAACTTAATAGTGTGATATCTGATCATGTTGATATAATGGATTTTTTAACCAGGAAATCTATGGATTAGGGGGGAGAACATTTATGGTACTTAACCTTGCACCAATTGGATGTTACCCAATGTTTCTAGTGGAGCTCCCTCATGAGAGTTCAGATATTGATCAATTTGGTTGCATGATATCATACAACAATGCAGTGGTGGACTACAACAACATGCTTAAAGAAGCATTGACACAAACCAGAAAAGAATTTTCAGATGCAAATGTTGTTTATGTGGACACTCATTCTGTTCTCTTGGAGCTTTTCCAACACCCCACTTCTCATGGTACATTTCAGTACAGTTTAATCGGCTATAGTAGGTTAAAGTTACATGTTATTGTAGATCAAATCAAAGTGATGGTGTAAACATTCTATAGGCTAACAGTGTATAAAACTTAAACTCTAGCCGAAAAAACGGAAGACCCTACTTAGGAGATATTTATACTGCTATAACTCAAGTTTACCATAATGATGTTTGTCTTTGTAGGGTTAAAATATGGAACCACAGCATGTTGTGGACAAGGAGGTGGTGCCTACAACTTTAACCAGCAAGTGTTCTGTGGAAACACCAAACAGATAAATGGACAAACATTGACAGCCACAGCTTGTAAGGATCCATACAATTATGTAAGCTGGGATGGGATACATGCCACAGAAGCAGCAAACAAACTCACTACATATGCCATTCTCAATGGTTCATATTTTGATCCTCCATTTTCACTGCAAAAATTCTGTGATATTCAACCTATAGGTTGATACATGATTTTCTTGTAAGCGTAGGGAAAATAAACCACGAGTTATTACTAGGAGACACGAATAAAAAATAGTGATGCTTTGATGATTTACATATTTATTTTATGCATTTAATTGGCCCCATCAGTAGTGAACTAATTCAGTTCGATTTATTCCGCTTTCAATCAATATATAGGTAATTTGACCACTAAACCATAAAGACTTTGATTCAGCCTCTCCCATCTGAAACATCCTCTTTACCTAACACAAGGTAAGGGTAAGGTCTGCGTACACCCCTACCCTACCCAGACACCACTGAAAAAATCTGTTTCAGCAGAATAAGGTTCAACACAGCTAATGCAAGCAAACTGATGTTCGACTGCAGAAGGTGAACCTTCTATAACAGTGCATTAACATATTCGAGGCCTTAGAGTTTCTCTCCTGTACCACTTTTTCTACCATTAAAAGTTACAGATGGCACAAACTGTAATCAATGATTATAGTGCATCTTTAAGCAAAGGAAGACGATAGTCAAATAAAACTCCTTGGCCGAGAATAACACAGTTTGGGAGTTCTTGAAATTTGTCCAAATAGGAATCCCTGGCCTTTGTCAAAGTCAAGGACTAAAATTTAATGCCGCCCTCGGCTGTGGAGTCCTTAATAGTAGCAAGAAAACAGAATAGACTTCGTGGAGTGAATTATATGCCACTCCCAAACTACAAGGACTCCAAAGTACAAACTATAATCACACTATCCCAAAAATTTGGTTCCATTCAAACTGGTGTTTGGTCTAACGGGACGCGCCCCTCAGAATAAACATTGTAACACACAGAGAGACAAAAAAGAAGAGTGAGAAAAGCAAGTCACACCATTTAAGTTTGCTGCTAAACCAAATTCATCATCCATTCAACAAATACAGAAGACGAACATCCAGCATACAACACCCTATAAGACGGGTAGTAGATGTTACCGAGTCCAAATCTTCTATTTTTACTGTGCTGAATAGGCAAAAACTCAAAACCCAGTAACCTATGAAGTAAATCAGTTCCGTGGCCATGGTCCAGTCACAAACCTAGAGGCCCTACAAAACCTAGAGGCCAGAGGGTCCTACAATCGAAGTCCACTCATCCCCACCCCTCAAAGCGAAGCTTCAGAAGTGTGATCAACAAGTCTACGTGCATAACTGAATAGACACCAGCTAGAATATTGCATTCATTTCATGAAAGCACAAATCTTCATACAAATCTCACAATGCACAAAGTTTGATTACATAACTTCAAACGATACACAAGATACTCTCTCAATGTTTATGGAAAAAGCTCCACAAAAACATTAGTAAGGCCTATAACGGACCTCAGTAACAGCAGCTTTGCGTTCAGATTTAGATTTTGTCAATGTCTTCATCCTCAAACTCAATGTAGTCATCACCAGCGCCCTCTTCTTCTTCATCCAGCCCACCAGTAATGCCCTCATTAAGTCTTGTGTTCTCTGGCAACTCTCCATATGCCTTCAATAACCTGGCCTCGTCAGGCATGTACTTCAAGATCACATCAGCTTTGTCGTCCTGGAAAAATCAAAATAACAAAGTTAAAAGAGAGCAATATCCACATTGGATAGGAAACCAAGATAGCATATCAAAGCAAACCAATAATATGATCAATTCCCCAAGTAGAGCGCTACAAATAAAAACTTTTCAGAGGAAGGAGATGCACATGCACAGGCTCAGACACACACCGGTGCCACTTCTCTTGGAACTCAGTAGGAACTACAAAAACTATTTACCCTTCAAAAAGGGCAGACGTATATTATTGCAGCAGTGTGGGCACACAACTATCAATTTTACAGCGGCTTCTGCTGTGCCAATTACAGCAAGCAGTGTTGCACTAAGCAAGTGGTAGTCCCAGTTTCTTTTCTCCTTCCATCCCAAAGTTTTGAAGCCTTTCTGTGTTCTTGGTATTGCAGGGAAGTCATTTTAGTTCCTTTTTCACAGCTCCCTTTCTAGGTAAAGCATGATTTGAACAGCTTCTTTCTTCGCTACTGCTGCCATACCACAAAGAAGTCCGTTTGTATATACCCACGCTCTAGTTTATTATTTTGTAGAACCTCTGGAACTATCCTTTCTAGCTCCACACCCCCCCCCCCCTTTTTCTTTTGCCCTAGGGGACTTTTTTCTCCTTTTTCTCGTTAAAACAAATAGAACTTTTTTTCATTACTTCACAATTTCACTAAAAACCAACCAACCATGAAGGAGTTAGAAGCAAAGGCATATCCTTTACCTAATTCTGACATCCCTGCTACAAACACAAATATAGACACATTATTACTACTTCTTTGTAACAGTAGTTAGTATGTTCATACTATTACAAACAAGAAGTAGGTGCTCCAATAACTTTGAATCTTCAATCCGCCTATACCTTCAATCGAAAAACTATGCAATCAACAGTCTTATCCTAATACACCGGAAGATATTTGTGTATATCAATGTCAGCAAATGCAATAGATTCATTGTTAAGAAATCTAAAGTTGAACCCATCAAGTTTAAATCCTAAACTTGATAGACCGCATCTCTACCTTCTAGAAGGTAGGGGTAAGATATGCGTACGCTCTACGCTCCCCAGACCCCACTTGTAGGATTATACTTGGTTCGTTGTTGTTGTTGTATCTTGGCACACCATCTGCCTAAGTCTAGGTGCTGATGGGAGGTGGGCGCAAGCTATCCCGAACACCACCATCATCCAAAAAAGGCATCTGGGCACGAACAAAAAATATACCAAACTTCTTTCCACAAAAGACAACCTTAAAAAAACCCAACGAATTTCACAAAACAAATACACAAAATAAACAACAAACCTTCTGGAAATACACAAAATAAACAAATACCATAAAAGGGGATTGGAAAAATAAGGTAAAAATTGGATCTTTTACCTGATAATCACGAAGACCAACAAGGATGATGTCACCAGCAGCGATCCAAACTTTTTTATGCATCTTACCACGTATATGACAAAGACGCTTTGTTCCATCAATACACATAGCTTCACAACGTCCATTACCAAGCATACGTAAAACCTGAGCATATTCCTGTCCATCTTCTTTGAAAACTAGCTCTCTTTTCTCATCGTCAGCTTCGTTCTTTCCTCTCTTCCGATTCTTACCTCCCTTACCCTTGTTCTTCGGCATCTTTGTTTGATTTGGTTAATTCTCTTCTCTCTTTGTTTTGTGAGAAATGCTAGCTTTGAGGTTGAAACCCTAAATTGAAAGAGGGTTATTTGATTTTGGTTTTATATAGAAGTTGTTAATAAATGAGCTTGCGTTGAAGCCACAAGAGTTGTAAAAATTGGACCAATTTACCCTTTTGTCTCTAGTGCTCTCGACACGTGGCAGCTCGACATGTCATTTTCTGTTGAAAAAAGAAATCAAATGAAAAATTATTTTCCTCATAGATGTGATAGGGTCATGTCATTTCTCTCTCTTTTTCACATCTGCCTTGCAATATTTTGCACATCATGTTATCAAACTGGCTGTAAGCATTTTGAATTTAATTTCTAAACGCTAGCAGACGCAGAATCAGAATTTGAAGTTAGCGGGGTATATCAGCAACTGTTCAATCAATGTCCTATTTTACTTTTGATCTTAGGGTTTGAAGTAAAATATATGATTGTTTTCAATATATATAAATTTGCCGAAGTTAACCGGAGTGACCCCTTAACTCTAAATATATATTGGTCCCTTTTTTGTATATTGTTGGTTATATATAAAATCACACATAGGATTCAAGATGGAATGCAGGTGCTTTTACTTAAAGAACGAAAATTACAATGAGATACTTGCGCACGAGTTTTGAAATCCTAATTGAGAAAAGAAAACAGATGACATAACTACTGCTTCTTCACAATTCAGAACTTCAACTAAATTAAAACACGATAAACAGATTATTACTAAGAATCTTGAAACTCAATGATAGAAATATCGATTAAATATACTGTATTTATATGTAAGACTCTCTCAAGGTGTTTGTAAAGGGGACTTCCTTCATCTTGCTTCGCTGAATTTTTTGGTTAATTATACGTGTAAATTATTGTCACAAACGGATATGTAAATTAAATGAACCCACTTGGACTAACAAGTAATGTCAGTTGGATGGTCAATCGGGGTCATTTTAAGAGGGTGTTTGGATTGGCTTTTAAGCTGATCATAACAGCTTTTAAACTCTTTTTAGCTTTTTTTCAGTGTTTGACAAAGTCAAAAGGTACTTAAAATAAGTTAAAAACTGCTTAAAACAAGCCAAAAGTAATACGTTGGGCAATCCCAACTTACTACTTTTTGGCTTAAAAGCTATTTTTGCTGAAAAGCTACTTTTTTTAAGTCAATCCAAACAGGCTCTAAGTCACAAGGCATGAGTTCGAATGCCATGTATTTTTACTTTTCGGAAATCACGGGGATGCACACACTTCACATCTTTGCGCAGTACTCCCTCTATTAATGTGGCTGTTATTAATTTAGTAGTACATTCTACTAAATTGTTAAAATTGTTAGGTTATTTTTCCTTTTGAGGTTTATTATTTGACATTTGTCATATAAAAGTTGTTTTTAATTGCCATAATTATTTATTATTTGTAATAAGTAATACTTAGCTTTTAAATTAGTGAAATATGTGTATTTAGTTTCTAACATTTTAATTTAGCACTTTTATGTAAAGTTGCATTCTCTCTCTCTCTTGCAATTAGTTCTTTTTAAATTTATTTACTGATCACGCCCAACTATGCCTTATAAAAAGGACAATGCGGTCGTTGCAAATATAATCCGGTTTACAAGTCCGGAGTCGAATCCCACAGAGAACTAAGGTTTAGCTACAGCTGTTCACTATCACCAAGAAAACAAGCTTGAACAATTCCTAACTTATAGATATTAAGATTCTTGTGTTTAACTACTTAACTAACAAATTAAAATAGTAAATTAACAACTAACGATACTGAGGGTTAGAGAAAAGATTAAGGAGGTCTAGAGTTATGATTTCCCATATTGTCGGAATCCTTCCCGCTATGTCTTCTATAATTTTGCCTAAGTATTCTCTACCGATCATGAGCACTCTTATTGCCGTAAATCTCTCCCGAGTAATTACGATAATTTACTAGACGCACTCTCCCGAGCTACGCTAGCTGGCTTTTAATACAGCTCACTTCAGATCGCACCCAAGGCTTCGTTATCCCTAATCTCACCTTTAAACCCTCGGTTATTGATCCCTCATATACTCTGGGAGTGGTGTTGTTCAACAATTACCTAAATATGCACTCTCTCCCGAGTTATGCATACTAAATAGGCACAGCTAATTGAGAGCTCTTCAACCAACCACAATATAAACGTAGTTGAACAAATAGAGAAAAGCTATGGCTCAATTATTATAAAAACATAACAAGAATTTATCCTACAAAAGGTTCTATCAAAACTCTAGATAACAAATTAGCTATTCATAATAGTATGTAAAACTACAATACTAAAAGTCATAACCAACAATGAAAAATAGGAAGAGGAAGGAAAAAAACTCGTAGAAGAATTCTCCGCCTTGCTCCCAATGTGTTCTTGCCTCCAAGGGTGTTGTCTAACCCTAAAGTAGTGTCTCTCCGCCTCCTTAGGTCTAATTTGTGTCCAAAATATGCCCCCCTCTTGTTCTTGGCCGGCCTCCTTTGTTTAATATAGGGTTTAGGACTTAAAATCCCATATTTTGCACTTTAGTCCCTGAAATTTTCGCTTCCTGCCGCGGTTTTGCCGCGGTCGCGGTGGAACCGCGGCCAAACATGCCCTCTGATTCTTCAGTTGTCCGCGACCATCTTCTACCGCGGTTCTGCCGCGGTCACGGCAAAACCGCGGTTTTTCACCCTGTTCCATTTGGAATTTAGAAAAACGTAAAACATGAAAGTTGTAGCCCTTTGAGTTAGCTTTCCAACCATATGTTGTGGAGCCCAAATGGAGTTCTGAGCAAAAAGTTATGTCTATTTTACTAGACAGTGCGCAATATGCCTCCTCAAGTCTTCGTTCGTACTTAATTATTAAATTTGACCTCCGAACACGATCCGGGCTTAATTCCTTGAGCTTTTACTCAGACTTCAAAGCTTCAAATCACTTAAATTCATTCCATAACATCTATATAGCTCAGAATCACACCTACAAGGCATAAAACACACAATTAGTGCAAAACACTAGCGATTAAAGCGCAAACTCAATTAAAGTGCAGTAAATTCGAGTGTAATAAGCGACTAAAATATGCAATTATAGCCTATCATCATTTACTATGAAATTCAACTCATACATAAAAGCTTCACTTCATATCCTAAAAGTTCAACTCATATCCTAAAAGGTTCAATTTATATCCTAAAAATTCAACTCATACATAAAAGATTCACTTTATATCCTACAAGTTATTAAATTGTGTTTTTATTTATTTATTGTTCAAGTAAATTATCTGTTAATTTTAATTCTTACTTTATTTATATTTATAGTGTTTCAAATTAGTAGATTGTTATTGTATTAACTTATCTTTTGAGTAAAACATAAGAATTTAAAAGAAAATTTATAGTCTTATAACTGATTAAAAGTTGACACACACACACATATATATATATATATTCAAAATTCACTTTCTGTTACACGATAATTCCCATTATTGACTATTACCTCACCTAATGTTATTATGTTTATTGAACCCGCTTGGATAAAATCCTGGGTCCGCCACTGAGGGTCGTCCACATCAATCTGGAACGTGCTTCGATTTAACAATAGTGACACTATAACAACGGGTTTTTATTTAACAATAGGAAACAAGCCAAGATACGTTCCAGTAAATCATCAGACAATCAATAAGAAATGAGGAAACTTCTTTATTGTCTCCGTCTTAAGCTTGGGGGATGAATCAGACTCAACTGTATTGGTTGAAGCATAATCAGGGTGTATACGGTCAAAATTGGGCTTATCCACTACATGACCGATCGGGCTCGGAATGTAAGGAATTGAATATCGACCCCGAGTCCCATCAAACCAGAACACAAGGTCAGAATGTCTGTCCTCAAGAACATCGAGTCAATGATCCCTGAATGGACCTTGACCCCGAATGAGTTCGAGGAAGCATTGCCAGTATAACCAACAGAAGACCAAAATAAGAGAAGGCCGAAGTATCCGGGACCGGTCGGGTATTACGGCGGGAATCTCGGCACGTATCAATAAGGAACCGGCAAATCAGCAAATCAGGAGATTTTTGCCTTTTATAGAATTGTATCTAAAGTAGGACTCCCCTACTATATAAAGGGGGTCTGATTGCTTGTAAAGGGACATTATTACACGCATTCAGAAGCAATATACTGTTATTTTCTCTTTAAAGTTCTTATTCAATTGTGTCTTGACACTGATCGAAGTACACTTTGTTCAAGGGTAGCCCACCTCCCAAGGCTGTAACTGTTCAATTCGCGTGGTTTGAATTTACTTTATCATACTTTATTTAAATTGCAATTTAATATATCGCTTTGCGTCAATCTAATCCATGTATCCTTAAAACCACTTATAAATTCAATTATTATCCGATTTTGAGGGTAAACAGTTTGGCGTCCACCGTGGGGCTAAGGATAATAGTGGTTATTTGATACAAAATTTTCCATAACATACACTACTTTAAACTTGTTCTTTGAAGTGCCTCTAATTTTAGGTTAACGCTCAAAATGTCAAACTCACAATTGGCAGCCCTACCTGTTGACAATGAGTCCGGTCACCACGGTGAAAATAACAACATAGCGCCCGATAACGAGGTACTGCCCGTTGATCCCATCGAAATTCCAGTCGCGAACCCGTTGGATGCTAACTCACATGTGGCTATTGACACAAACTTGCCTACCGACCCCGAGAATAGCATCCATGGTGGAGCCCGATCGACAGCACAGAACACTCGAAATAATGGGGGAGATGGGATCAATCTACAGATGATCTTCGAAATATTACAGGCTCAACAGGCGGCGATAGCTCACTTACAGAACCAATGTTGTGCACCAAGCAGAATTGAACTCGATCCATCCCGGGAAATCACTCGCGGGGAAGAACCAGTCGCGGAGAGGTCGAACGAAAATGAGTCGGGGACCAACCCCGACCATAAAAATGCTCGAGGAGCTGAAAAACGGATAGAATCAGGGGAGAAGAAAATCGAAGCAAACGACAAAAAAGTGGAAACCTACAATTCAGGGTCGACTAGATCCCGGGAGCGCCGCCAATACTGAAAGGCTTGGATTCCAAGAAGTTCTTACA